ATTTATCTGCCAAGCTGACTGTAACATATGACATACACCAATTCTGATGCTCAATTTAAATCCATCAAATGACTACCAGGGTCAATTAATCGCGCCACAGCGCTCAGATGTGATATTTTATCAGAAATCTAGACACAATAGGCGTTGCGCGATAAGAGCACTCGGCAAATTTTGTCCACGTGTCGCCGTTAACGAGACCGTCGTTCGTTCGTTCGTTCGCTTGCGCACGCACGCACGCATGTGTTCGAGGCGACGTGGTGACTTCGTGTTGGCACGCGGCTGAAAAGGAGGGAGAGGGTTGCAAACGGACACTTACTCGTCTCCACGTGGACGCCACAGCCAGCACAGTGATTCCGTTGACCGACAAGGATCGATTGACGCCTAGGTGGAACAAAATGAGAGAGGTTAAGGCGCGGGAGGGGAGGGGGAGGACCGGGCGTGAGTAAGTAGTAACAGGGGCGTGCTTAGGGCGTTACCGTACAACACAAAATTAAATCGAGGGTGGCACTCGCCGATTTCGCAGGAGGGAAATGGGCGCTTCCGCTTTGCATTGCGAGCGCCGGACCTGTCGGAAGACGGCACGAGCAATTAAATGCCAGGGAAAGCCTTGCAGACTTCGGACCGAACCTTTTAAAAGAGCTAGCCTTGTAGGGATACGAGTTAGACAGCGCCCGGTGACAAACTCCATATGTCCCATGACATCGGCCGGTTTGGATTTCAGAGGTAAAAGTGTGGGGAGCGTGTTACCAGAAGGATATTGCGTGCCAATCCATTTTCCAACAGGAAGTATGCATGTGAAAAATACTCCGGTTTCCAAAAATATCACGAGCTGTCTGTTCTTACAGTACCTGGCCACTTAATACTGTTCGAATATTTCAATTTGCCTCTATATCATAAGCCCCAGTCTGAGTTGGCAAATTTTGGGAAACCATAAATCAGGCTTTCCATTTCTACTTGAGGCGTCTAACTATGCGCAAGGGATAAAACATAATTGTTTATCCCTTTGGCACAATGAAACGCAAGGCCACAACAAGGGTACTGACATATAAAATTCCTAAAAGTTTCGGCATGGAAAACATAGCTCTCAGAAAGATTTGATAGTTTTTAAGGAACCAGGGAGCAACATCCCTAAATGCAAGGAGGGATTCCCAGGTGATGATCCATGTTGCCGACGGTGGTGACGAAGTCTATATCACGGAGGAGTGGCGGTCTGGATCATAGTTCATTCGGCTGCTATATTTTGAACCAATTTTTTAAGAGTATACTCAAGCCATATAGACAAACACCGAAATTTGATGCATACATTTGGACCGAACGCCATCAGCCACTGTGGGATAACCGCGTAATATATACACGCTGTCAACGTTCAGACAGCAGCATACATTTATGTTGTAATTTACCGTACTGGCAGCACAAGTACTAGTTAATAGCTAGCACTAGCTAGCTTCATCCGGATTCCCCTAACTCAATATTCGAGCCCCCTTAATTTAGTGCATTTTTCTTTTGTACAAGTTTTGCGAACATCATAACGTTAGTCCAACACAGTAAGCAGTTAAACTAGATTAACCATATGGTTGTACTTAATTGAAATAAGTAGAAACGGTGTTTTCCTTCAACAGGGGACTAACACGGCCAGAAAATAATCATGGGGAACGAACTCGAAGCCGAACCACATTGAATTTAGCTGAATACAGACAGGAACTCTCCATCAACATGAACATCAATGTGGGTCACTCCAAGTTCCAGAGAATGAAAACTGCCAACACAAGCGAAAATGCGAGTCCCAGGAAGTAATTGAGAAGAAGACGACTCGATC